TTTAAAATCATTCTTCTACCAAAGGGATTAATTTAGTCTGGAGCATCCTTTGGTCAAGGGGACTAAATTTTGTATAAACGGTTGGGGGTGGCCCGCCTGGGGCAGAGGGGCATGGCCAATTAAAGCCATCTTCGATTTTTGACATTTAGTGCTATTTCTTAGGAATAACTTGAAGGGTCTTTCTCAAATTTGATATGTAGGTTCCCATTGATCTCTCGTTGTGCATGTGATATTTTGAGACTGATCATAAAAACAAAATGCCAGAAGGAAGACTTTTAAAGGCTTTTATTTATTCTTGATATATATACATATTGAGCATGAAGCTCATCTTACATACAGTCAAGATATAATGTCTGATCAAATGTACAATATTTACAGCTTTAAGAAATATGCATGTATAAAATACAGGATAAGGGAGGAAATCATAAATCATTTCAAGTAAAATTGCTTGCAGGTCTCTAAAATTCTAAAAATGAAGTACAATTTCTAATGTGACTTGGTAAAAGATTCCATGTAAGGGGTCCCTGATATCTAAAAGATTTTCTAAAAATGTTTGTCTTTATGACATGGCAAGTAAAACACATTGGTAGATGATGATCTTGTAGTTCTACCCTGAACATCAGACATATACGTAAAATCATTCAAATTTTGTGGAGCTAAATTATTAAGTATATCTTGTACATAAAAACTACTTGATTGTATAAAATTATTTTGAAAAGTTCACCAATTTAGTTTTTTGAACATATCACGGGAAGGTGTGGAAAAATCACATTTTAAAATAATTCTGGCTGCTCTCTTTTGCAGGCGTTCTAATTTTACAATATTATTCTTTGAACTGTTACCCCAAACAGTTGAGCAATAATCCAGATGTGGGTTAACAAAGCAGTTAAAAAAGGTCATACAAGATGACTGGCTCAAGAAGGGTCTCAACTTTTTCATCTAAAAAAATTGACTTGTTATCTTTATACAGACATTTGTAAATTGAATGTTCCAAGAGAGACAATCATCTATGGACACTCCCAAATGTTTTTCACATTTTACATTTTCAATGTTTATATTGTTGATAACAACGGACAATTCTTCTGTTAATTTACATTTTTCTGTGAAGTAGTAACAAGCATGACTTTTGTTTTAAACAGGTCTTTCTCATATTGCAATGATCGGTTCTATTTCTTTCACATTTAGTACTGTATTAGTAAATATGTGAAATGACAAACTCAATCTAAAGGTTGTCTTTTATACACAGCAGTATTAAGTTTAGATCAAAAGTTACCTCAAGGTGAATTAACTGTTAACATGACATGATCGTACAATGGTGGGCGCAATGATCCTTCTGGGATCTCTTGTTTAAGTCTGTTCAATTCTGAACAAAATTGATCGGTATGGTTTAGCATCACTGATTAGTGCTAGCAGAACAAACCAGTAGTGTGGTAGCGTTATTCGTTTTTAGCTTTCCAAATTTTACAGGTGCTTTTACAGCTTTTGAACCAAGTTTTATCTGCCTACCGTTTGTGTTTTTGCTCTTAAAAAATCAAAGAATGAAATAAAAACAAAAACAAGGAAATCCCTGGAAAACGTAAGATGCGGTAATACAATTATCCTATCACAGTTCGTTCAAATTGATATTTTAATTAATAATTGACTAAAATTTATCAGAAAGTCTAAAAACTTCCTTGTAATGAAGAAAAACATTCAAATGCTATCATAATTTATAATATATTTTCATACTTCTCGACGAAATTCAAATTATAATAAAATGCCACTCGTTTTCCTTTATTATTTTGCTTGAAATATACTAATTTATCTACAACAGTTTTTTTCATTTGAAGAAAAAAAGTGATTTAGCCATCAATACTTTCCATACAAACTTTGAAGGCGATTTGTTTCGATCCCGTTCACACTGTTTGAATGAACCCCGCCATTTATAGTCTATTTGGTTCTCCCCAGTCAGTAGCGTTCAGGGCTAGCGCTATTCATGTTAGTTCACGCTTTTTGTTATGTGGGAGCAATTTCATTTGGGGCCCAGCTGAAAGACGTTGAAAACATGAAACAGCAACTCTCCATTAGAAATACAAGGAAACCTTTCGAGGGGCAATACAAAAAATCGGCCGTTACAGATTATGCTTACACACAACAACCACATCATAGACTTGAAAAACTCGAAAGTGCTTGAAAGGGAGGACAACAACTAGAAAGTCAAAAAAATCATAGAATCCATCTGGGTTAGAAGAGATTGGGATTCGATGAACAGAGACGAAGGGGCCCATCAGATGAGTCATTTTTATGACCCCTTTTTAACATCCGCTTAGGGATGGAATGGGTAAATAGGCTACCCGTCCTCCTGACTGCCTGCATTATTAGAGTGCAATTGGGCGAAATGTCTCTATGCTTTTTGACAGCTGACTTTACTTGATTCGGCTCACTGAGGCTTAGTAAGTTGTTTTTGAGACACCGGTCATTTGCACTCTTTGCTTGCTTGACAAAGGAAACAGACGTTTTCGGAAGCTCGCAAAATCAGCTTTCAATTCCTGCTTGTGTTCAAAACAAACTTAGTCTTTAAGGTCAGCAATAGATACTGTATGACAGAAATGAATTGCATTGAATATATAGCTGTTTCGTTCTTTTAGGACTTAACAGCGATGTTAGGGACCAAAAGGTTAGAACAAGATGGTTCAGCTACCGTTGAAACTGAAGGGAAGGTCAGGTGCGTAAAGCACCTCATCTCTTTCACCCCTAGGTAACTTGAGTAGACTCTACCATACATTCATCTGGATGAGTCCATTATGGTCTACAGTTTTGAGAGGGTTAACTTATGAATTTCCAAATTGAGTGGAAAACTAATTGATTTACGGTGGCAATCAAGGTAACGGCAACCCTCAGGGACCAAACATTGGAGATTCGATCAAGCGCCTGGATTGTAAGACGACTGGAGATGTATGGGACAAAGTCATATAGAAAATAGCTAACTTGTACCATTAAACATTGATTGCCTAATTACGTTTATGAGGTCTGACTGTAAGTCTGTTCGCCTTTCTCTTTAATAGTATTTTTTCCTTATTTTCATTTGTTTTCCTCGCGCTTTGTCAGTCCAGCATTTTTAAATTTCGTTGTTTTCATTTCACACCTAGGAGTTTATGGCACAGTCATACATCGGGATGGATTCCAAAACTGTCTGTAGCTGCTCTATATTTTATAGAGCGTAAATACTGATAAACCCGTGTTGAATGCACAAGCAGTACTTTTGTTTTGATATATATTCTAATATGGGAAAATATTGTTTAACATTCACTGGCGCTAGTTTTGGCTTTTGCTAGCATAGTTTATATTACGCCCAATTTAAAAATGATTGTTTTTGTATTTGATCATTGTTTTTACATTTGATCATTGTTTTTAAATTTGATCATTGTTTTTACATTTGGTCATTGTTTCTATATTTGATCATGGTTTTTATATTTGATCATTGTTTTTACATTTGATCATTATTTTTACATTTGATCTTTGTTTTTACATTTGGTCATCGTTTTTACATTTAATCTTTGTTTTTACATTTGGTCATTGTTTTTATATTTGATCATTGTTTTTATATTTGATCATTGTTTTTACATTTGATCATTGTTTATATATGATCAAGGGGTTGCAGTCACATGGAAGTAGACGCACATTTTCCTAGTTTTAGATGGACTTGATCAAATATTTCAAACTAATATATTTTGTAGATTTTTATTACAAATTTATTACTTTACCACATATGTGTATAATACCTTTATGTGTACACACTTCTCTTGTCATTTGCCTGATAAGGTTACAGAGTACATCTGTACTACCGAAACATCACACGTAAGCACTATTGGTTATGACAAATAACCTATCTACAAATCATACTTACAATCCCGAAAAAAATGTTTAATAGAAATATGATATTTTAGTTTTTACCTAATAATGCATTATACTTGTTTGGTGATAAATAACTAATAAGATCCCATTCATATCCAGTATACTATGTGAACTGTTTGGTGCGGGTTCACGCCATTGGTATTGACCTCCTAGCGGAGTTGATAGTGCACTGGCACCCTTCAAGTAGTCGTCACATGTTACAGGAAGATAAGTCAGGATTTGTGTCAGAGTTGAAGATATCGCTACGATTATAAATCAAGCTCTATATTTAGGCACTTGTACGTAGGCTAAACACGCATTCCGTCTGTTATACTTCCTGGTGATCAAATATATATTTGTGCATAATTTTATTACTTGATTGGTCGTTCGCTTGAGTATATTCTAACTCGCAACGCAATGAACGCTGCGTGTCTTGTTCTGTGTTTGTGTGTAGGATACACAACGGCGGTGCCACTGGACCTTAATAACCAGGTAAAATACCAAAGGAGAATTTCCACCATCTGCATATTATGTTATTGAATTATTATTTAATAAATATTTCAGAAAAAAAATCAGCCATATGTGCGAATCTTGCGAATTCCTCAATATTGTATTGATTAATATACATGCTAATCGTATTGACTGTATACAATTGTATATCTATGTATTGTAAAGCGCTTTAGAGTTGCTTATTGTAGCTAGGTAGGGCGCTATATTAAATGTTGTATATTTATTTATTGATGTGTTAATACAAAAGTTCAATTTTTAATATTGAATTCATTAGGCATTAATGCTGTTTTGTTTAACAATTTATTTTCAGATTGAAGTTAGCGAGTTCGGTGAGACATTTTACTATCACATGCTTTTTAATTTTGAGTTGAATTATGCACTGTTACTCTTTATAATGTACGATTTCCTTAATCATCTCCTCTGAATCTGTATAACACGATTTGACGAAAAATAGATTGGCTTCGGTCCCTAAAAGTTAATTGTATTTGCTGTTTTGTAATGTTGTTAAGCTACCATATCTGGAATTCATTCATCAAATAAACGTAAGTTATATAATGATGTAATTTGATGTGTATTTCGTACTTAATACTTAACAATATATTGCCACTTTTGAGTTTTCCTGATTAACAAGGTCTAGCGCAGTAGAATGCAAAAAAAAAGAATAGGTTTCTATAAGATAAAGAACAGCAATTGGCGAATTCGTAAACGATGACCCAACAGTGCTTTTAGAAATGGAACAATCTCGAAATATTCGTATGTCTGTTGCGGCAGTCGTTGGAAACAAAACATAAATTCTTGTACGAACAATTTTGCTCACACTGTGAGCTATTGCGTGGCGCGGCGTCCGTCGTCCTTTCGTTCGTCAGTACTTTCTTTAAAGCGAAATCACGGTGAAATACATCTTTTTTTTAAATACTGCTTAATTTATATCAATTAAATCTCATGGAAAATGACGGCCGGATTTCACTGAAATATATTAAACAAAACGTACTATTACTTATAGAATACGATATTTCTCAAGCGTCCGACCAACATTTTGAACGGTACTTTTTGGCGTCATTCTGATGAAGCATGCACAACACACCATATCATTGTTAACCTAGAATTCGAAATCGTCACATGATGTTATCGGCGCCATGTTTATTTTCCTCAAATATCGAGTGGTCAAACGTGTCATTTGGAATATGCTTCGAATATGGGGATAACAAGGAAACACATTAAATAAATGAAACATTGTTTTTAACAATATGTCCCTTTAAAGGACTTATTCTCCAGTTTTACTGGGCAGATTTTGATCATATTTGGTACAGATGCTGTCTTACGGTCCTGAACTAGTGTGGTTATTGCTAGACTCCATTCACAATGCATTATGGCCACTTTCGACTTCTTCTCACGTTTACTGGTCAGATTCGGATCAGACGTTGAAAAATATTTGACTCATGGCTCTGAAAAAGTGCTGTTAATTTTCAGCTTGTTTTAAAATCCAATATGGCTGCCAGAGCCTCTGATTGGCTGGTACATTTTTGACCAAGAGTTGAGAAGATGCCCTTCAAAATAAAGTATCAAAACTCTTTATGAACCAATTTAAGAGTGTGTTGGAAGACTTTGACGTATCCTTCTGTTACTGAAAACCAAAAGTCACTTTTTTATTTTTCAATTTTTCAATCTAGTGGACTGCTCGTCCGGGTTATGACAATATAGTCTAAAATAACTGGTCATAAATCTCCTTTTGAAAAGAATTATGGGGTGGAGAAAGTCTATTAGATAGATTTTGAAGATGCTATTAGTTAGATTTGAAAGGCACTATGATACAATGAATTTAAGATATTACTTGGTATAGCGTTGTATACGTGTAAATACGGATAATGTGTCATAGTTTGGGGTTTCAAAGTGCACCAACTTTAAAATATGTAAGTGTTCTTCAGACGATAATAACTGATCTGAAATATTTCGTCTTAGTGCCCTTTTAATCAAACTAATTCCAAGAGAAATCTTCAGGATAAGTCGTGGTGAAGTTTCAATGTGAGAGACGTTTTTGTCAGAACAAATTTGTTATCGAATGTATTAACTATAAAACATTCACAAGCACTAAATAAGCATTTAATATCTATCAGGGGGAATAACGATTAGATAGATAAATGGAATATAATTCTACTTTATAGTGTTAAAGTGTCGTTAGTGGCCCTTACGACCTTAATCGTTACATTCAAGTTCCCAAAAAAATACATCGATCCATAAATGTACACCTTCTGAGGCCTTTTTAATTGTTTTGGGAAAACATATGGGTCGTATCCACCACTGGAAATACACTGATGACAGCTCTTGCTATCGAAAGGTCGCAAGTCTGAGATAGCAGATATGACCCACTTTTCCTACAATAAAGTGCACTAACTTTTTTGTCCTTGTGTGTCAAGATTTAAAACTTATAGGTCGTGAGTGCAACTTATGACATTTTAACAATGAATATATGTAATTTATTTATGTAGAATAACAAAATGTTAGTTCAAAGTTGTATTTCCAAAGCAGGAATTTCATTTGCAAAACATTTTTAAAAATGTCTTTAGTTAATTGTTATTCAATTAAGAGAAAAAAATGATTTACATATAGCACATTTTTAAAATACTATGACGACGATGTATTCTTAAGAAGAGCTCGGGTATTGATCAATTTTCTTATATTCTCCAGTCCTACCCGAGGAGGATTATGAGGTTCCAGACACAGAATTCACAGAAAATACCCAGGATTGGGCTGTCGGAGACGTAAGACATCATATGTAAATAATACGACCATCATGCGACCTCTGATTATTCTGACATCAAGTCTTACCTGATCCTGAACTTTCTGATATTCTGTCTAATATTATCAATGATTATTCCGACACCCTGTCTTATCTTATCCCTGATTAACCCAATACACTTTCTTATCTGACCCCTGCGTATTCCGATATCCCGTCTTATCCAACTCCTTAGTATTCCGATATCCCGTCTTATCCAACCCCTGATTATTCCGATATCCCGTCTTATCCAACCCCGCTTCCACTGTACTGTCCTATAGACGATATATTTTATACTGAAATCTCTCTGGAAACGACATGTGTCCAGTAATTTACAACTTGACATCTGGTTTTAATACTAATTTTATTTCACGGTGTTTAATATTCCCACGGTAAGAACAACAAAATATAGTATATGAGTTTTTTTCTTTTGTAGCAAGACCCACGAACTCTGGCGCAAACATTCTACATATATATTGTTTTGTTATTCTGTTACATAATTGTGATACGAATTCTTTCGATTAATGATACTATATACATATTAATTAATCATGTTAATTGCTTTTTAAGTGGTATTCCTCTTTAACTCTGGTATTGATTTAAGGATGCTTGCTCCCTTCCTATGACACAACATGGTTTCACATTGGTTGAACTGCAAAGTATTATTTGGATCTCATTAATTTATGAAACATCTGTAAATATGCGTTTATAACACTGGAGTATTTCTAATTTATTAGATAATGCAAATATAAAATAACAACAATAAAGGTAGATTATTGTATCACATATATGAGGTAAACAACAGCAGATACCAGCAACTCTAACATGAATATAATGTAGCAGATACACTTATATTATTTCTAACGCAAATCTCAGATATAGTATTTAAGGTACCATATACGCATGAATGTTACAGGTATAATATGTAAGGTAGCCTATACACTTGAATTATTTCTTTGTGTTCACAGAAAAGGAATGCTATAAATACCAATACGTATCACACTGCACTGTGGACAGGAGGGGTAGTTCCCTACGTCATCAGTAGTAGCTACCGTAAGTAGCCAATCACATTTCGTATATACAACATGCAATATACAATATCTCCAAGCTGAATTTTTTTTCTATATTATGAATAATTAAAAGTTGCTAAAAATAACCAAGTTAAAACTCTTTCACTATTTATCAACAACGAAAATTTATGGCATATATTATGCATATTTTATTAGCTGCTTCGATCAGACAAACATACGAAGCGGCAATGCGGGAGATTGAAGAAGACACCAAGGTTCACGGGAAAACCTGTGTTCACTTCGTCCCAAGGACTTCCCAGTCGGATTACATCCAGATTAGTCCGGAAACTGGGTAACACATTGGTCTCATATTACATATTACATATTTCATATTACAACGAAAATAACGTGTAAACGGCTTGATTTTTCGTTTAACGGCAAATCATTCAGAGAACACTTAAACTGGAAATACAAGGGGTTACGCTCATTTACATTCGCTGCACCCCTGGAACATTTCATCAAAAAACTCGAAGGCACGTGATTAACTGTTTGATTGGTTTCATGTTAAAAAAACCCACCTGATCAGTCGCTAGGCTGATGCTTGTCCTTTGAAGATAACACAGCAGCAGAATCGAACAACAATGCTGGGCACTTTTACTGTTAAGCTGTTGCGCGATTATTTTGATGTACATCAATGATTCAGTCTAGACTACTTGTATTATCCGCAAGGAGGCGCGTGCAGAGCGTTCGGTTTTGTTGTGATACATTCCAGAGGTTCAGAGACCGTAAGTTAGCGTCACACCTGATTTCACAGATGGTATATCTTAAGCAATATATGAATGTTTTTTCTTGTGTTATTGATATTTGTTAATAATCCTTCATTTAATTGAAGGAAAAATAATGACGCGAAATAAAAGTAATCTACTCATCCAGCATCGGTCGGTATTGATGGGATGTCATTAGGGGTTGTATAAAAGGCGCAATGGCCATAATGTGCAATACAAGTGATCACTCTGGCTTTCTTCATCGATGAACTCAATCGTTGAAAACAAGCTTCGTTACTTCATATATCTAGTAATTATTTTACCTTGTTGGAAAATTTGTTGCATTTTCTATATAAAAAAGTTTTACCAATTTGCTTGACTAAAAATATTTCAACCACAGTGACACATTGAAGGAGTATCTATAGTTTTACATATCGACCTCACTAGAATAGAATATTTACGTGTTGTCAAACTGTTGACAGGTGCCATTCTCCCGTTGGCCATCACAGAGGACGCGGTGACGTATCCCTAGGACATGGATGCGAGTCTAAAGGAACTGCCATGCACGAGTTTCTGCACGTGCTTGGATTCTTTCACGAACATGAACGCTATGATAGGGATCAATACGTTACAATACATTTGGAAAACGTGATAACACGTAGGTCACATTTCAACAAATATTATACTGTAATTAAGTGCCTTTTTTGCGGTCCCTCATTTTCGCCGATTTGTTTATATTTTTCACAGATTTCAGGTCACTGGGCATGACAAATAAAAGTAAATGACGATTGAAAATCTTTTAATTCGCGGATTGTATTTTTCACTTTAAAAAGTCGTTATTGCGAAACTCCTTTAATGATATACCCTATCCATATGCCACTGCTAGAAATAATACTAAATTATCAGTGTTTGATGTTATGTGACTGTGATTCGACCTGTGGACCTACTAACTCGTAACGGCCTCTAAAACCGAATGAGTTACCTGGTCACTGGTAGCCTCTTGGCTTTTTCCCACTATAATTACATCTAAAACGGAATTAATGGGAAATCCATCAAGATCAGAAAAAAAGTACCGTGAAATTATCTTGCAATTTGCCGTCAGTGGGAGAAGGATCCATAATCCAGTCAAACTAGCAATCACAGACCAGCTTCGAAAAGTCCATTAAGTGATCTCTTTATGTAAGGCAGTCATTCCAGACATGTTTAGTAGACACGAAAATTAGTTTAATGGTGAGTTTTACAAGTGGTCTCTCAAACTATAAACCGGGGCCCGTATACATGAAACCGTTCTAATGCTTACGCATGTATTCTATGCTAAAACCATCTCTCATGCATTTCGCTTAGATCATGTGACATTGTAAAAAAGCCAAGCGTACATATTCAGAATGGTATTCGGTTTCATTAACATTGTGACTTTTTATTCATTTATCAACAGAACAAAGGATTAGGATTGATCCCAGAATCTGCATGGTTTAAGCAAGAAAAACGGTTTCATGAGTTCGAACCATGATGGTCTCTTAATAAAGATGGTCCCTTAAACAGATTTGATTGATTGTAAATCTGTCATTTGCAGATAACCAGAAAGACTATACAAAGGAGACCACTCAGCAGATGAACACACTTGGTGTTTCGTATGACTATGGATCCATAATGCACTATGGAGCATATGCTTTTGCTGCCGACAAATCAAAGCCAACTATGGTTCCGAAATCTCATTCCGCGGTGATTGGACAGCGTCTCGCGCTCAGTAGGAAGGATGTACAAAAAATACAGCTTCTGTACAACTGTGGAGTTGGTAAGCAAATTATATGATATTCCAAAATACAGTATTAAAGCACCTTAAAAAATAAACGAACACAAATGGTTTCCTTGTGTCATTGCCAAGAAATCAATTCTTTATTATTTTTAATCTTGAATAGCTGAACAATAATATATGAAAACAGTTGAATTCGTACATGCACATATAAGTAACAGAAATTAATTATGCATAAACAAATTAATGATGAACAACAGATGATTGATTCATCATTAACAGCTACTGATACATATTTTTCAAAGAAAACATGCCTATTAAAGAAACAAATTATACCGGTATTAACTGGACTTATTGTATAAATGCCAAGCATCATTTGTGTACATACATTGTGCAACGCTTTATATCAAGGATTGATGGATAAAAAAATCGAGAAACCGTAGGTTGATTTTCTGGACTTTTGTATGTGTGCTAATTAAGTTGCTTAAAGATCCATACGGTTATAGGTTTCATTCAAACCTGTACAATAACACTGTACAATAACACTGGAATTATTGTTTTTCTCCCACACAGTTTTATCATAAAACCGATTATAATATTGAACCCGGTGAACAGAATAATACCGTGCGTAAACTTTTTTTCCCTATGTAGATAAAGACAGGTTTACCTTTTCCTTAACAAAAATGGGAATGCACATGGAAAATCCCCCCCCCCCCCCCCCCCCCCAA